AAAAACTCTCAGCAAAGTAGGAATAGAGGGGAACATTCTCAACTTGATAAAGAACATCTACAGAAACCCTCCAGCTAACCTACTTAATGGTGAGAAATTTGAAGCTTTCCCACTAAGATCAAGAACCCGGCAAGGATGTACCCTCTCACCACTGCTTTCAGCATCTTACCAGAAGTTCTAGCTAATTCAAAAAGAAGAGAAAATAAAATCATACAAATTGTGAAGGAAAAAATAAAACTGTATTTGCTCATAATCACATATGTAGAAAATCCAAAAGAACTGACCAAAAAAAAAAATCCACTTGAAGCTCATAAGTGATTATTGCAAGGATACAAGGTAAATATACAAAATACAATTACTTTCCTATTTCTAGTAATGAACAAGTAAAATTTGAAATTAAAAACACATTACCATTTTCATTAGCATCCTCCCCAAAATGAAATACTTAGGTATAAATCTAACAAAATATTTCCTCTATGTGAGGAAAACTATAAAACTCTGATGAATGAAATAAAAAAGGAACTAAATAGATATTCCATATTCATGGGTAGGAAGACTCAATATTGTCAAGATATTGGTTCTTCCCAACTTATCTACAGATTCAACACAATCCCTATCAGAATCCCAACAAGTTATTTTATAGATATCAACAAACTGATTCTAAAGTTTATATGGAGAGAATAAAGACCCAGAATATCCAACTCAATAATGAAAGAGAAGAACAAAGTCCAAGAACTGACACTATCCAACTTCAAGTTTTTCTACAAAGTTTCAAGAGACTATAGTATTGGCAAAAGAATACACAAATAGTTCAATGAAGCAGAGTAGAGAGCCCAGAAACAGACCCACATAAATATAGTCAACTTAACTGTGACAATGAGGAAAGGCAATACAATGGGGAAAAGACAGTCCTTTCAACAAATGGTGCTAGAACACCTGGACATCCTCACACCAGAAATGACTCTAGACACAGACCGTACACTTTTCACAAAACCTAACTCAAAATGGATCACAGACATAAACATAAAATACAGAACTATAAAACTTATAGAAGATAACATAGAAAACCTACATGACCTTGGGTATGGCGATGACTTTTTATATACAACACCAAAGGCACGATTAACGAAAGAAAAATTGATAAGTTGGACTTCATTAAAATTAAAAACCTCTGCTCTGCCTAAGGCATTGTCAGGAGCATAAGACAAGCCACACTTGCAAAAGACACATTTGATAAAGGACTGTTACCCACAATATACAAAGAACTCTTAAAACTCTCCAATGAGAGAACGAACGACCCAATTAAAAAATGTGCAAAAGACCTGAACAGACATCCCATCAAAGAAGATATACAGATGGCAAATAAGCATATGAAAAGTGTTCAACATCACGTCATCAGGGAAATGCAAATTAAAACAACGAGGTAACATTATACACCTATTAGAATGGCCAAATTCCCAGACACTGACACCACCAAATGCTGGTGAGGATTCAAACAGGAATTCTCATTCATTGCTGGCGGGAATGCAAAATGGTACAGTCACTTTGGAAAACAGTTTGAAGGTTTCTTACAACATTAAATATATTCTTACAACATTAAATATATTCTTACCACAAGATCCTTGATATTTACCCAAAGGATTTGAAAACTTATGTCAACACAAAAAGCTGCACAGGAATGTTTATTCATAATTGCCAGAAGTTGGACACAACCAAAATGTCCTTCAGTAGGTGAATGGATAAATAAACAGTGGTACATCCAGACAATGGAATATTATTCTATACCAAAATGAAATGAGATAGCAAGCCATGAGAAGACAGGGCTTTCCTATCTGAAGGAGGAAACAAATGCAAATTATCAATACTAAGTAAGAGAAGTCAATCTGAAAAGGCTACTACATACTGTATGATTCCAACTACGTGACATTCCAGAAAAGGCAAAACTATGGAAACAGTAAAAAGATCTGTGGTTACCGGGGCTTAGGAAGGAGGAAGGTATGAATAAGGGTTCACCAAGAATGAAACCTAATGTAAACATTGGATTTTGGGTGATAATGATGTGTTGATCGTAACAAATGTACCACTCTGGTGCGGGATGTTGAGAGTGGGGGAGGTTAGGGAGGGCTGGGATGGGGGTGGGTTACAGGAAGTCTCTTACTTTCTGCTCAGTTTTGCTGTGAACTTAAAACTGCCCTAAAAAATAAAGTTTATTCATTTAAAAACTTGAACTGGGTTAACTAGAATACAGCATGCTCTGAGACTGCCTTCTCGGGGTCACATGTGAAAATAAAATTTTTTTTCTCCCAATAAGAAAAGGGAGTTGGAGGCCTTGGCACTCAGTTGGGATCTACTGTCAATCTACCACACAATGGCACCTGCATCTTTCAGGAAGAAACTCTGCAAGGAAGGAAAGAAGCCTGCAAGAAGCCTCATCAATTAAAACAGGGATTTGGACAAAGAAATCCACCCAGGTTCTAGTGTAGAAGTACTATTTCCCTTGATGAGATTTGCTCACTTGTCAAGATAGTGATAAAAATAGCTACTGCTCTTTAAATGAGCTTTCAAATAAATAAATGAGCCCTTGTGGAATATATTATCTTTTTTATTCTATAAGTCTCCATTTTAAAACAGAAATAAGCTCAAAAGTGTCCTCATTCGTGAAAGTGGGGACACAAATAGTTATTTGTACAACCATGTTCATAAAAGCATCATCCAACATAGTCAAAAGGTGGAAGCAACCTAAGTTGCCCATTGACAAATGAATGGAAAATCAAAATGTCATATATATGTACCTGCAATGGAATATCATTCAGCCTTTAAAAGAAAATTCTGGGCTTCCCTGGTGGCGCAGGGGTTGAGCGTCCGCCTGCCAATGCAGGGGACACGGGTTCGTGCCCCGGTCCGGGAAGATCCCACATGCCGTGGAGTGGCTAGGCCTGTGAGCCATGGCCAAGGAGCCTGCGCGTCCGGAGCCTGTGCTCCGCAACGGGAGAGGCCACAACAGTGAGAGGCCAGCGTACCGCAAAAAAAAAAAAAAAAAAAAAAAGAAAATTCTGACATATGCTACAATATGATGAACCCTGAAGACATTATTAAGTGAAATAAGCCAGTCACAAAAGGACAAATACTATATGATTCCACTCATATGAGGTACGCAGAGTAGTTAAATTCGTAAGAGACTGAAGATAGAATGGTAGTTGCCAGGAGCTGGGGGAAAGGATAAATAGGGAGTTTTAGTTAATGGTTTCAGAGTTTCAGTTTTGCAAGATGAAAAAATTTCTGTGGATGGATTGTGATGATGATCATACAACAATGTGAATGTACTTAAAGCCACTGAATTGTACATTTAGAAATGGTTAAAATAGTAAATTTTAGGTTATGTATATTTTACCACAATTTAAAAAAAGAAATAATTTTTAGAGTGTCTTAATTCACATAGGATTCTCAAGAAGCTATATCTAAAGGAAAGATTCATGTTTTGTGTACCATGATCCTTAGAGACTGAAGTAAGAGATCAATGAGACACGATTAATGAACACATCTGAAAACCCCTAAGTTTCACACAAATATATGGATTTTATTGACACACGATATTTTCCTACAGTAATAAATAGAATGCAATCTTAAGGGTTACTTTGGAGTTGAGAAGGCAGTGTATCCTTGATAGGGGTGGTCAGATTTTGTGGTACCATTTTCTTTAGAACTGCATCTAAGAGGGAACAAGTGTACTGGCCGGGAATCACACAGGTATATGCAACATCTGTGTGGGCCCTACTGTTTCTCTCCACACCAACATAATTCATAATTCATAACTCAAACTGGCTAATATCCCCCAAGGTTTCCCCTCCTCCCAGTTTTAACATATCATAAAAATAGCTAGTGCCATAAAAAGTCAACATTTCAAATATAAAAATCTCTTATACAAATATAATTCATAATATAATCATTCTTAAAATACAGCCATTTATATGAGTTTGAAACATTATTAAAATAAATATTTCCTAGAGAAAATTTCATTTGCATCACAAAATTATAAAACAGAAGCATATAAAACTAATTCATGATTGACGCTACTTCAGTGTGTCCATTATCTCTCCTGCTCACTTCGTACTACAGTATGAAGTACACATAGGTAGCCTGAAAACACACCACATCACCCTCTCTATACCTAGATCTTTGAATTTCATGTACATCTACCTGTAGCGCCCACATCTACCTGCCTACACACTCTACCTGGAGCTTCTGGGTGATGAAGGGTTCTCCTGCACCAATTTGCATTAAAGCGTTTTTCCAGCCATCCTTCAGTTCAGAAGTCTTATGAGCTTGTTACTTTCTGGAAGCAGACATCTTCTCTTCCAAATCAAGGGAGCTACATCCTGGTTCCCTACATGGGACTGTAACAGCCCGTTTCCCAGATAAGGGATGTTTTCTGATTTATTTGCATTTGGGTATTGCTGAATGGTACTAACCCTGATTTCCAAGATGGAAGTTCTGTCTCCTGACTGATACTTAGGTGTTGTGTGGTGCATATTTTGATGGGCTGTCTTGTGACTCTCACAGCATTCCATTACTTGCTTGGAAACGGGGCAGTCTGAATCCTTAACAGACAATATAGCTGTGTTTTTAAATATCGTGGAGAAAGTGGAGAAAAAGGTATATAAACATATATAAGCCACTAAAGTTTCCAGTTATCATTACTTAATTGTATCTCTAAGTAGTATGATTACAGTTCTTCTTTAATAATACAAATGAGTAAGTTTCACTAAACAATAAGTTGAAGAATTAAGCTGGCTGACGTTTACAGCCACCTTTCCAGTGATGACCAAAGGGAAAAGTTTTCAGGAAAAGCTGGCTTGCGATTCCAAGTGGTAAACCTTCAAGGATTTGAAGTACCTGTCACACGGTTTGACCATTGCCAGGAAGCCATTCATCCACGGGAACATCCTTAATTCCTCTTACCCGAAGTTTTCCTTTTTTAAAAAAGCATCATTCATCCTTGTTTTCTGAGGCAGAAACTCTTTTTTTTTCTTTTCTTCAACTCCACGCGTGAATGTCCCAGGCAAACCTTTGTTCTGCTCTCTAAAGCCTTGTTTCTTGTACCTCTTCTTCCGTCTCCTCCTTCAGGGCAGCGATTTTGGACCGAGACCTCTGCTTGCTCGAGTTCCGGTGGGGGAAGAGCTTCAAGCGGACTGCGGGGCTGATCGCCTGCCGGAAGAGGCTCTTCTCGCTCAGCAGCCTCTGGATGGAGTCGTACTGCCGCACTCTGTTCTCCTCTATGACCTAGGGAAGTGGCCGTTAGTGAGATCTCGGACAAGGAGGCAGGGCGGACCAAAGCAAGGCAAGAAGGGCACAGGCTCAGAGGATGAGGAAAGCCAGAAAGAACACACAGCGAGTGTCCAGAGGCTTGCAGTCTGAACAGTCAGGGAGAGCTCTGCTGAGTCCTCGTGATTTATGGAGCTTCTACCATTTGTGAAATCAGCTGTAATTTTTTACTTAGGAGCTGGGAGATTGCTTTTTTTAAATTGGTATAGTACTGAACAATGTGCTTCTTCAGAGAACTTTAGAGGAACTAAGGGGGCTTTGAAAACAAGAACTATTCATGTTAGATCCCTTATGTATTAACCTTACAAATGAGTGTTAAGTCCACAGCACCATAAAGAGTTGAACCACGTCAACAGTGGATTTGAAGCTTAACAATTTCAAATTGGTCAGGATGTGCCTGAGTTATGTGCCTCCTTCACTCGTTCAAGCTGAACCTGACCGTAGCTGGGCAAGAGGTTGTAAGTCGGCCCCTAACTTGTCACTCGAAGCTTAGTAATAATAATGGTAATAACAATCCTTCAGGAAGAAAAGCATTTACCTCCAGGAGCCTGAAAAGCCTTAACAGAAATGATGTGATACATCATCCTCAGGATTTCCTTGTGGCTAAACCCAAAGGAATTTGTAAACATCACTTGAAAGAATCTGTGACAGTTTTGAAACCACAATGAGAAGGTGGTTGGGAGACGCACTAAGCTGAGTTCCAAATAATGGCTAGAAAAATGAAATAAACCTTTCAACTACTGCATTAAAACCATACATCAGGTTGCAAGACAATCCAGGCCTGTCCTGGACCCCATCCATGGGAGATTTAGTTACTGAAAGCATCAGGACCTAGTCTTTTTCATGACTGATCCCCAAATAAAAGAAGCAAAAAGTATAGATGTTCCAATTTATTAATGTAATTTAGCAATAAGCTGCTTTTTTAGATTTGCTGAATTCCAACCTCAACTCGTTGCACAAAGTGAGACACTTGGGCAGGTATCTTGAGTAAAGCTGGATAGCTGTGAGCTTGTACATTGCTGTGACTTGCAGGAACCAGCACATATCAGATTGTTATCAAGAATCAAAGGAGAGATGAGATCTTAGGTAAATTAGAAACACTCACCAAAAATCGTTGACATTCCAACATTGCCTCTATCCTGTGTTCAGAGAGGATTACTGTGCAATCAGCAAATGCTTGTTTTAGGGTTCTTCGAATGATTTGGTATGTTCTAGCAAAGAAAAAATACCACATATAACATCACAGAATGTTAATAATCTGTCTCTATCCTTGATAACATACCTATTCTTCTGTCAATGTAATTCCTTAAATTATCTTTCCTTGAATCCTTTTAACAGAATGTTGCAATAGAGTCAGCCACAATCAGCTTTCCAACCACAGGGCAGATTCTAAGTTTTCATAAATAAATAGGACAAATATTTGGGAAAAATTTTCACAGTTTGAAAAAGTTTCCCAAATAAGTATATATTTCATTATGTAGCATCAATAGTAGTTCTTTATTTTATGCTATAACTATTTCCTATGTTATAAATGGGATAGTAAGGAAAACCATAAGGACCCAAGTATGCCTATGTAACTAAATATTTTATCACACGTCAATAAGGGGGAAGAGTTTGTATGAAATTGCAAAATTACACTTAGAAGAGAACACATAGCTCTTATACTAGGAAATAAGCACTTGTGCGTGTGTCAAATAGTAACTTTTCCACTGGGCAATTATTTCATATCTAGAAGGTAGTCTTCTGCTTGCAGACATGACAGCCTGATAGAAATTTGTGTCAATATGAAGTATGTCTCAATGATTCTTTTCCCCCTGTGTTATTAAAAAGCAGGGATTCTGAAACTCACATTGGATCCAAATGAGCACTGGGTTCATCAAGCAGCAAGATCTTTGCTTTACTGAGAACGGATCTGGCCAAGCACATCAGCTGCTTGTGGCCGTGGCTTAGGACACAACCCCCATCCACAAGGACAAAATCAAGCTTCCCAGGAAACTGCTCTATCACAGATCTGAGTCCAACCTGCAGAAAAGAAAGAGGAAAAACACTGGGCTTAGGAGGGGTAGTTCACATACTACAGGGTTAAAAACACTTAAGAGGCTGATAATCTGAAAAGACAGGAGTTCTAAAAGTTTAAATTTCATAACAACCCCCCACCATTCCTGCTACTTGGCTTTAACTGAACAAAAGACTATGTATAATCTTGGCAGCTCTAAAGCATCAGTCTACAGACTGTTTCAGCTCTGTACTTGTCCTTTCATGAGGTTTTCAGGGAATGCCTATTCTATGCCAGGTCCTCCAATAGGGATTAAAGAGACGATAAATGGTCCGTGGGCCCTGCAAAGCTCAGGGTTTATAAAGACATACACAGATAATTATAACACAATTGAATACATGCTAGAAAAGATAATATGTATAGAATGCAGTTACTTACTGTATCATGACAGATTCTTTTATGCTACCTTCCATTCTCTACTCTGTAATAACAGAGCATGAAAGGCAGCAATAAAAATCAACTGAGGAGCCATTTAAAACCACATATGGCAATGTACTACTCATCTCTTTAATTCATAAAAACTGACTTTAAGAAAGTCACGAAACTATGAAGTAAAAATAACTGGAGTTAAAATAGTGGTGTATTACTGGAGATTTAAAGGTGCTTAAATATTCGGGTGGAATATGAGAGTTGTGTTAGGGTCAATGGCTTATTTTTTTAAGCTAGATAGGAAAAATAAATAGGTTGAAAAAGCAAATGAGATAGAGAAACCCATTCTTTCGAAATAAGATAAAAAATGAAACCTTGCCTCATATCACTTATTCAAATAAATGTGCATTGACATATATATTTTTGCCAAGTGTTGCTGAGTGTTTGAGACCTAAAGAGATACACATGTGATTATATCCTGCCCTTGGGAAGTCTGGGATTTAGTATTGGGAGGTAAGATGTGTTCCCACTTACCTGTAATACAGGCAGAATAAGATAGTGGCCTTAAGACAGACTCTCATGAGTTCAGTGATGAATCTGGAGATGGCCCACATCACTGTGTTCGTTCAGTAAATATTAACTGTGCCTAGGATATGTATTGCAGCCAATATTCCTTTCCTTGAGTGGATTTCTCATTAAAACAACCTCACTTTGTGGGAATTCATTAATGTTTGAAAAGAGTTTCTGAGATGGTAGGGAAAGTAAACATATTAATTAGACAAGGGGGACTATTCTCATGTATCCTGGAAGACTCAAACATAAAACTAATTTTGGATCTAACCAGCTGAGAATGTGAATAAGGGCTCTTGGGTGAGGAACTGGAGGACTTGTGTTCCTTCTCTCCTCAACTTTCGCTTTTTATTGGCTTCAGCCTGTGAACCTGCTACATCTTTCCCCTCTTGAAATAAAAACCCCTCATTTGCCTCCAGATTCTCCTTTAGCTATTATTTATTTATTTAACAGATCTTTATTGGAGTATAATTGCTTCACAATACTGTGTTAGTTTCTGTTGTACAACAAAGTGAATCAGCCATATGTATATATATGTCCCCATATCCGCTCCCTCTTGAGCCTCCCTCCCACCCTCCCTATCCCACCTCTCTAGGTCATCGCAAAGCACTGAGCTGATCTCCCTGTGCTATGCAGCTGCTTCCCACTAGCTAACCATTTTAAATTTGGTAGTGTATATATGTCGATGCTACTCTCACTTTGCCCAGCTTCCCCCTCCCCTCCCGTGTCCTCAAGTCCATTCTCTATGTTTATGTCTTTATTCCTGCCCTGCCACTAGGTTTGTCAGTACCACTTTTTTTTTTTAGAGTCCATATATATGCGTTTGCATACAGTATTTTCTCTTTCTGACTTATTTCACTCTGTATGACAAACTCTAGGTTCAGACTCATCCACCTAACTACAAATAACTCAATTTCGTTTCTTTTTATGGCTGAGTAATATTCCACTGTGTATATGTACCACATCTTCTATATCCATTCGTCTGTCGATGGGCATTTAGGTTGCTTCCATGACCTGGCTATTGTAAATAGTGCTGCAATGAATATTGTGGTATATGTTGCTTTTTGAATTATGGTTTCCTCAGGGTATATGCCCAGTAGTGGGATTGCTGGGTTGTATGGTAGTTCTATTTTTAGTTTTTTAAGGAAACTCTATACTGTTCTCCATAGTGGCTGTATCAATTTACATTCCCACCAACAGTGTAAGAGGGTTCCCTTTTCTCCACACCCTCTCCAGCACTTATTGTTTGTAGATTTTTTGATGATGGCCACTCTGACTGGTGTGAGGTGATACCTCATTGTAGTTTTGATTTGCATTTCTCTAATAATTAGTGATGTTGAGCATCCTTTCATGTGCCTCTTGGCCATCTGTATGTCTTCTTTGGTGAAATGTCTATTTAGGTCTTCTGCCCATCTTTTAATTGGATTGTTTGTCTTTTTGATATTGAGCTCCATAAGCTGTTTGTATATTTTGGAGATTAATCCTTTGTCCATTGCTTCATTTGCAAATATATTCTCCCATTCTGAGGGTTGTCTTTTTGTCTTGTTTATGGTTTCCTTTGCTGTGCAAAAGCTTTTAAGTTTAATTAGGTCCCATTGGTTTATTTTTGTTTTTATTTTCATTACTCTAGGAGGTGGGTCAAAAAAGATCTTGCTGTGGTTTACATCAAAGAGTGTTTTTCCTATGTTTTCCTTTAAGAGTTTTATAGTGTCTGGTCTTACATTTAGGTCTTTAATCCATTTGGAGTTTATGTTTGTGTATGGTGTTAGGGAGTGTTCTAATTTCATTCTTTTACATGTAGCTGCCCAGTTTTTGCAGCACCACTTATTGAAAAGGCTGCCTTTTCTCCATTTTATGTTCTTGCCTCCTTTGTCGTAAATTAGGTGACCATATATGTGTGGGTTTATCTCTGGGTTTTCTATCCTGTACCATTGATCTATATTTCTGTTCTTGTGTCAGTACCAAGATTGATTACTGTAGCTTTGTAGTATAGTTTGACATCAGGGAGCCTGATTCCTCTAGCTCTGTTTTTCTTTCTCAAGATTTCTTTGGCTATTCGGGGTCTTTTGTATTTCCATACGAACTGTAAAATTTTTTGTTCTAACTCTGTGAAGAATGACATTGGTAGTTTGATAGGGATTGCATTGAATCTGTAGATTGCTTTGGGTAGTATAGTCATTTTCACAATACTGAATCTTCCAATCCAAGAACATGGTATATTTCTCCATCTGTTTATGTCATCTTTGATTTCTTTCATCAGTGTTTAATAGTTTTCTGAGTACAAGTCTTTCACCTCCTTAGGCAGGTTTATTCCTGGGTATTTTATTCTTTTTGCTGTGATGGTAAATGGGATTGTTTCCTTAATTCTTCATTTTGATTTTTCGTTGTTAGTGTATAGGAATGCCAGAGATTTCTGTGCATTAATTTTGTATCCTGCAACCTTACCAAATTCATTGATTAGTTCTAGTAATTTTCTGGTGGCATCTTTAGGATTTTCCATGTATAGTATCATGTCATCTGCAAAAAGTGACAGTTTTACTTCTTCTTTCCCAATTTGTATTCCTTTTATTTCTTTTTCTTCTCTGATTGCCGTGGCCAGGACTTCCAAAACTATGTTGAATAAGAATGGTGAGAGTGGACATCCTTGTCTTGTTCCCGATCTTAGTGGAAATGCTTTCAGTGTTTCACCATTGAGTATGTTTGCTGTGGGTCTGTCATATATGGCCTTTATTATGTTGAGGTAGGTTCCCTCTATGCCCATTTTCTGGAGAGTTTTTATCGTAAATGGGTGTCGAATTTTGTCAAAAGCTTTTTCTGCATCTATTGAGATGATCATATGGTTTTTATTCCTTAATTCATTAATACGGTGCATCACATTGATTGATTTGCGTATATTGAAGAATCTTTGCATCCCTGGGATAAATCCCACTTGGTCATGGTGTATGATCTTTTTAATATGTTGTTGGATTCTGTTTGCTAGTATTTTGTTCAGGATTTTTGCATCTATGTTCATCAGTGATACTGGTCCATAATTTTCTTTTTTTGTGATATCTTTTTCTGGTTTTGGTATCAGGGTGATGGTGGTTTCATAGAATGAATTTGGGAGTGTTCCTCCCTCTGCAATTTTTTGGAAGAGTTTGAGAAGGATCAGTGTTAGCTCTTCTCTAAATGTTTCGTAGAATTCACTTGTGAAGCCATCTGGTCCTGGACTTTTGTTTGTTGGAAGATTTTAAATTACAGTTTCAATTTCATTACTTCTGCGCACGGGCTTTTTCTAGTCGCAGCCAGTGGGGGCTACTCTTTATTTCAGTGCACAGGCTTCTCATTGCGGTGCCTTCTCTTGTTGCGGAGCACAGGCTCTAGATGCGCCGGCTCCATAGTTGTGGCCCATGGGCTTAGCTGCTCCGTGGTGTGTGGGATCTTCCTGGACCAGGGCTCAAACCCATGTCCCCTGCATTGGCACACGGATTCTTAACCACTGTGCCACCAGGGAAGCCCTAGCTATTATTTAATGTCTCCCCCTTTTCTCATCTAGAAATCTTAAATAATGAGTGTGTATCTGTTGTCTCTACTGCCTGAGACCATAGAACATTTTTTCCCTTCTTCAAACATCTATTCCTTGTCTTATGAGAAACCACACCCTCTATGGACATTTCTTCTTATTATCACATGTAGGTAATTCTCCCTCTTCCTGTCCCTTGAATATTAGTTTTCCTCATTGCCAACTCTCCAAATGCTCCTTCTGAGATCTCATTCATGCTCAGAGTATCAACTACCACCGATAAGCGAATGATTTTTCATCTTTATATCCAGCCCTGGACCTCTTTCAAATACTTCTTAATCTTCCATCTCCGTGCCAGCCCTATTACAACAACCCTAGGCCAGGCATCATTGTCTCTTAAGCTTCATACTGTAATCTCAAGTTGATTGTCACCTGACAACCCCACAGGGATCCTTCTAAAATATAGGTTTGACCCCATCATTTCTCTGTTTTAAATCCTATGGTGGCTCTCCTGCTGACAGAATA